TAAAATTCTATAAAACACAGGCACAGCACAGAAGGGTATTTTTAATATGATTATATGCACATATATAATATACACACACATATATTAAAAGCTAACAATATCACAGGTAAAAGGAAACACTACAAGTTTTTGCAATAAATACATGAGTAAAGCAAGGATGACCCTTTCCCCACCGTTATTTGACATAGTTTTAGAAATATTAGCAACAGCAAAGAAAGACATAACGATAAGCAAAAAAGAAACAAAACTTTCCTTATTTACTGATAAGAGAATTTATTTAGGACAGCTTTCAGAATAGCTTTCAGAATTAGCAAAAAAACAATTGGTAGCTTCAGTAAAGCAGCAGCATACAAAATAAAGTCACAAAAATCAACAGATTTTCTATACAGCCATAAGAAAACTCAGGATGAAATGATAGAAAAGAAAGTCCAATTCAAAGTAACTATGATACGCATAGTCTGTCTGGGGGTTAATCTTCTAAGGCACAACTAAAAGCTATAGATATACAGTTATAAAAGGTTTTCTAAAAAAATAAATAATAATTTAAATACCTGGACTATTGCTACAGCAAAGTAAATAGAATAAAATGATAATACTGCTTAGTTCTCGACTTGGAGTCAGAAAGATCTGAGTTCAAATCCTGCCTCAAGACACTCTTAGCAGTGTGACCTTGGGTAAGCTCACTTCACTGCTATCAGCTTCAGTTTTTTCTTCTATAAAACAAGGATAATAACATCAATTCACCTCACAGAGTTGTGAGGACCAAACAAAATAACGTATGTAAGGTACTTTGCAAACCTTATGCCAGCTATTATTCCTATTATCACCATCATAACATTAAACTATCAAGGGGATACTTTATATAGCTAGGCAAAACAATAATCAAATTCATTTGGAGGAACGAAAAGTTCAGAACTTCAAGGGAAATAACGGGAAGAAAGCAAAAATGAAGGGGGTATAGAATTTTCATAGTTTAAGTTATCCAATAAAAACAATAATAAAAAACTATTTGGTACTGGTTAAAAACAGAATTAGATCAGTGGACAAACCTAGATAAGGAAGAAAGAAAAATAAGTAAACTCAATAGCTAAGAATGCAATAAACCTGAGAATATAAGTTACTAAGAATTTTCATTTGACAAGAATTCATTGGGAAACTGGAAAGCAGTGTGGCACTTTACTTCATATAGCAAAATAAACTCAAAAAGGATCCAAAACCTCAATAGTAATGGTTATATCATTTAAAAAACTGAAGAGAACTAATTAAGCACCTTTCAGAGCCTTGGCTAGGGGAGAATCCTTAACCAAAAAAGCAACAGAGCAAATTACAAAATATAAACAAGATAATTTCAGTTATTAAAGTGAAAAAAGCTTTTGCATAAAAAAAGTCAAGGCAAGAAGCACTTATTAAATGTTTACTATGTGCTATACACTATTAGAGATAGAAAGAAAGGAAATAACAGTCAATACTTTCAAGAAGTTCCTGGTCTAATGAGGGAGACAACATGCAAACAACTATGTATAAACTACATATAGGATAAATGATAGGGAAAAAAAACTAAATTACAAAAACCTCAGTCTGTCAAACCCAAGTCTGACATGCAGATGGGTCTCCTATGTTTTAACCAACCAGTTATATAATCTAGAGACCTTCTTTGCATCCCCAAGACCTAGCACAGTGCCTGGCACATTACAGGTGTTTAATAAATGTTTGTGAAATCAATAAATCTCATACCTTCATACATAGTAGTCTGTTTGGAGTCATTTATGCACTCTGAGAATCTGCCCCACAGCTCAGGGGTATGCTATTTTAGGGATCAAATCAAACCAATAACCAAATTCTCAAATAAGAGTCCTCAAAAATTAAAAAAATAAAAAAAACAAGGTATTTATTAAGAACCTACAACATATCGGGCACTATGCTAGGACCTGGAGATAAGAGACAAAATGGAGGACTCCCACCCTCAATAAGCTTACATTCTATCAGAAAGACTTCCTCCCAGAATCACCTAGTCTTCAGTAATGAAAAGTATATGACATTAGTATTTGTGTGTGCTATTACAGCTTTGCTTTACCTCATACTCATTTTCCTGAAAGCTAGTATTGCACAAGTCGGCACATATCTCAAAAACACTTAAAAAGTGGAACCCTCATGACATTATAACTGTTTTATGAAAATGACCAAGTAAAATAATCTACAAAAAGATAAGAGCAAAAAAAAAATCACATTTCAACATTTTTTAGCACTGAAAAAAAAATAAGACCACACATGAACAACAATAAGAAGAAACTCAACCTAACAGGCAAAAACATTCTATTTCTTCTCACCCTTCACAAAGTTATTCTTAAAAAAAAAAACAAAAAACAAATGTGTTTTCTAGGCACTGTTTGCAGCCAATGGCTAGTCAAGTCAGACAGTCGTTGAAGACATGGAACTCTTCACAAATCAATCAGGAAACAAGTTTCCATTTACTGTGTGAGTTTACCCAGTCTGGCAGCTGGCTGTGAACACAGGATTGAGGGAACTAAAAGAGGCAGCATGGCACAGTAGAAACTGTATGAATTTATATGAGAGGACCCAAGTTGGAATTCCAGCTGTTACTTACCACCCTAAACAAGTCACTTAATTTCACTGGGCCTCAGGTATGTTACCTACAAACAGAGAGGACTGGACAAGATAATAATCTAAGGTCTTTTTCTGCACTAAATGTATGGTCCTACAATCTGATGAAAATTAGAAATATCAGACTTCTTTGAGAGGAATACCAACCAAGCCACTTTAGAAAGGAGGAAGTTTATCTACATTAGCTAAGAATTTGGAAATGTCCTTTGTGATTTGGGGGCTAAGACAAAAGGAAAAGTCAATAAAGGTTTGCTATAAAATGTTCACTCAAGTATTAAAAGGGTTACTGAGCTGGATAAAACTTAATGGAACACTCACAAAATAAGAAAAAAAAATAAAACTATCTCTTCTTCAACACAGATAGGTGGGTGTTGGTCTTATTTTTTTATTTTCCCAGATAGGTGGGACTATCCTTCCTTAATGCCAAAATTCTTAAGAAACTACAGTCTAAGTATAATAATACTTTTTTCTCCAGCTTTGTTATTATGCCCTTATAAAGAGCCTCCATATTCAACAGAAACAGCCAAGAACTTCCATATTTAATAGAAATCTTCTAAATTCAAAATACCAATTGTTGTATCTCCTATATGAATAATACCAACTACTTCCCCAATCTCTATTTATTGGCACTCTAACCACTGTATAATGTACAAGCAACTAAGAAGTTAAAGTCAACCAAAGACAGGCAACAAACTGAACTGAAAGAAATTATCCTCCTTTAGGCTTTAAATCAAATTTAAACTTAACCTTTAATTCAAAGAACAAAAGGAAACAAGAATCAAAAATGACCATACAGAATACACCATCTCCTGTATGGAACTAAAACCACTGCCTAAAAACAGTAAGCACACCACACGGCTAACATCAACTATAAAATTTACTTCCTCCATTGATCAAGACATGAAGCGTCTCTGTCACCAAAAATGAAACATCTAGGGCACCACGAGACAAGTGAACATCAAACCGCTTTCCCCATCTTTTTGTTTTTAACTATAATAAACTATAGCTCCTTACAGCAAAAAGCCACAGACCAGACCGTCTCCCAACCCATTTTCACTTCTTATTATTTTAATTATTATTATTATTTTATGAGGAAAAGATGTCAGTTTAAAATTTTTATTAATTTGTTCATTAATAGACTTTCCTTGAAAACAAAATAATAGACACTGTTCTTTCAAAAATATTGACATTACATTCCATGAACAACTTGAAGAATCCTCAAAGACCAACCGTCGTAACTACAGGATGCTATCTGTTACGCAGATGTTGAAAAACCTTTACAGTTGTCAAATGTTTAGGAAATTGGAATTAAAGTAGTCCATGCAGGAGCTGACTCTGCTTAGCAGCCTGAAAGGAGGAAACCTTCATAGCCTAAGCATGATTATCAAATTCTTTGTGCTCTTAAAGGAGAGTAATTATAGGCATGTGAAAAAAGGGAAGCACTCCCTGAGGTACTCTTCCTTGCATTCCTCCCAAGAGGCACCAGGGCCATTAAAAATTCCAAGATGAAGAGGAAAACAGCCTGGGAACAGCCAGGAGGCAATACAGCAAATTAATACACCAACTGTCCTCAGGGAATGCTGTGATAAAACAGGAAACACTTCTCTCTTCGCAAAATAAAATTATACCACTAATGATAACACAGTCACCACACACACAAAAAACCATTCTAATGATGGGTGTGAAATTCCCAATGCTGCCCAGATGCTTTGAATGAAATCTTTCCCCACTACATACAAAATGAGGCAGAAAAAAAGGCAAAGCTCTTTCCTAAGACCAGCTCTTCCCGGTACCACGCACGTATCCCAAAAACATCTCTTCCATCTACACCTGAAGTCCACAGTCTCAATGGCTGATATTAAATTCTGTCTATCTGGCCTCAAGAGGAGCTGGAAAAGTCCTTCATTGGCTAGAAACCTTCTCCTTAAAAGACTACAGAGAGAAAGCACATACATTATTTCAGGAAAGTAAGAGATGGCCTGGAAGGTTCAGTGTTTTATCATTCACATTTTCTAAAGGTTTCACAGAGGCCATGTGTGCTTATCAAATGATTAACAAAGAAGGAATGGTATTTAGGAGTGAGAGAAAAATAGAGATATCATCATCTATATTCACTCTCCTTAGCCTTCAGCCAATGCCAAATATGTGAAGCAACAGACAATGTTTCTCTAGTTTAGTGCGCCCACGAGTACAGCCTAGAATTCTTCATGTTCCCAACTCCCAGTCACTTGAACTGATAGGCAAGAAATAGAAGATAATGATGTGACTAATGAGATATAGAGATAAGGAACACAAGCTGATGTGCAGCACAGCTTTTTAAAGGAAACAGAGAATCCCAATAAAAGCACAAATACTAACTCAGTATTGTGTAACCTTACTGGCAGAGCTAGGCTGAAGGCAAAACCACTCACTCCACTTTGCTTCTGATGTGATGCAGTACACCGGGTCTGTCTGAAGGGATTTACATGTGATGAAAGCAATAGCCACCTAAACAAAAAAGCCCCGACTAAAAGTCAGCAAGCTGCATTCACACCGCCTTCTTAAACTAAGGATCTAAATCCAGAGTTAAGAGAGAAGTGGTTTACACTAACTAAAGAGTTTTCATATTTTCTGTACAACTATTTGCAATATTTTTCCTTTCCAAAGACGTTTCCCAACTTCCCCCACTTGATTCTGCAGTATATCAGAGTTCTATGACTAGGGTCACAGTTTCATGTAGTAAAAATGACAGTGCCCATGAAGTCTTCATCTTTTCAAACACTGCACATAATATGAAAATTATTAAATGAGTAAATGCATGGACTTTTTGCTATTAGATCAAAAGCATTTCACTAGTTGGCATCTATCAATTAGCTACATGAGGAACTGCATGTGAAATACGTACACAACAAATATATTTGAAATACACAAGCAGTCTGACTAATGAGCTTCTTAGGTATGTCAATTTGCATAGAATTAAGAGCTGACCTTAGAACGACCAACCAACTTTACTGTGGTAAAAGGAGAAGCATATTTACTTGTTTTCTCATCTAGTTCCTTAAGAGAACCTCTCTTCAGAGAAGCAGTATTAATAATATTCTTTTCAGATGAGGCTTTATTGGCACTGACTAGAAGGAAATGAGAGGAGGCCCTCCAAGAGACTAGACATATTACCTGGCAGAACAGTGTGCTGGTAAGCATCTTCGGTGGGAGGCATCAGCAAGAACATCCAGAGAATAGAGGGGAGAAAGGGGATTGAACTGAAAGAACAAAAAGGAAGTTATTTCAATAAGCCCCATTTGAAAGACACAACCTGAATGTGAAAAAAGAATCCCACTGTCAGGATACTTTTCTCCACTCTTATCTCAATCATCTATGCTTCTCAAAACAATATCACAAAACTATTTAGTGAGACTATATGATGCTCAACATTATGCCATGTGATTGCAACAGGACTAGTCCAGTGCCCTCAAAAAGAACTATTCTTCTATTCCGTAAATCCTCTCAAGACCTTTTAACATATGATGATATAGCATTTTCTGCAAAAGTGCCATTAACTGGCAGTTTTGCCTATCAACTTCAGATTCCATTCAAACTCACTGTCAAGCAGACTAGCAAATTATTACCTCCTATTCTCCCATTTCAGAGAATCATTTTAATGGATGATAAAAGTGTCTGTAATACAGCCCTCTGAAAGTGCTACAGCCAGGGAATCAGAAAACCCAGGCTCTGGTTACAACTGTGCCGCTAACTTGCACTGCGGTTTTGAGCAAGCCAGTTAACTTCTTGGCCTTTACAGTGTTTTCTAATGTGGAAATGCTCTAGAGGGCCGGATGTGAAGCTAAGAAGACCTAGGTTCAAATCCCTCTTCTGAAGCTTATGAACTGTATTAAGCAATAAAAAAAAATAATGCCTGTGGTACCTCCTTCACAAGGTTGCTGTGAGGTTCAATGAGGTAAGTATATATTCTACAACCTTGAAAATGCTATGTGCCAATTACTATTATTATTACCTATCACTTCACAAGGTTACTGGGATACAAGTTGAAAAGGTTTTGAAAAAGAGAATGCTATACAAATGTCAAGTACTCTTAGCATAGAGCAAGCTAAATTAATACTTTAATAACTCAAGATAGCTGTAAAATCGCTTTTATCATTCTCCCCAAAAATGTTTAGCCCAGAACTAAACATATCTTCTAAAAAGTAAAAATTACTTTCCAGCTTCTAGATATGAATACAATTCTATTATTAGTATAGCAATTTCACTAACAGATATCCAAATCCAATAGGGGCACGTGAAAGTAAGGAAGTCTTACCGATCAGCCTCCACAATTACATATTCTCTTCTGTAAGACTAATCATTAGGAGGAAAAAACCCACAGAACTACAAGTGGAAAAATCTACATGCAGTTCACTCTATGATATCCTTGTTGCCAGCTCAAAACAAAATAACTGATTACCACCTGACATCCTATAAAGAATCAGTGACTAAAAAATAGAGTAACCACAACACTGAACCCTGAAAAGGAAATTAGCCACAGCAACCTAATGAGAATCAAATATCCATGAACCACAGAATGCTTAGAATACCAAAGCTAAATGTATGGATAATCACTTCCTTACCTCATGTGAACAGGCAGGAATGTGGGGAAAATCAGAAGTCAAGGCTCTGTTCTTTCTAAAGAAAAGGAAACCAAATGAGAAAATAAAGATGACAGAAGAGCCAACTTACCTGGTTGCGCTCTCTCTTCCCTGTTGATGGTAACCAGAAACTAAAGGGAGGGAAAGAACAAAAAGAGAAGAAAACAAAATACAAGAAGCAGGGAAAAGATAAAGGAAAAGAAAAAAAAAGATGATGGGAAAATAAATTAAGGAAATGAAAAGATGGAGTTGGGGGAGAAAGGGAAAGAAATATTAAACATGTGCAAGCTTCACACTGGAAACAACTTTTCAAAGGAAAAGCCTCCTAATGAGAACATCAAGTATGGGGCAACATGATAATGGACCCATTTGCTAAGCTATGCACATAAACTGCTGACTAACAACCTGATCCCCAGGTCAACAAGAGCTTAACCACAGATTATAAGTATCTTTGCTTACTGTTAGAGACTGAATAGTATTCTATGTTGGATAAATAAATACTTTCTGTCGAAACTAGCTCCCAGCTAAGGCAAGAAGAAATACCAAAGGGCCATTATATTTTGTGGAACAAGATTTACAAGATATGGCTGTCATGAGGAAGGACAGAACATTCCTCCTACAACAAACAGTTTGCTCAGAACAGAGTTACTTGGAGGACTTCATCACCAATAATTAGCACAAAAATTCTTTCTCTATAAAGTGGCTGTAAGATCTCTTCTTCTTAACACTAAGCATGATTTATTTTGATAGCTTCCTCTCCTTTGCCACCCGATATCTAGCCCAATGCAGGTAGTGGTAGGCATTCAATACATATTTATTGAATATTTGCAAAGGAGATGGTGGGTGAAGATAATTATCAACTTTGTAGATTTATATTAAAAGAGAAAAATAACTATTAAGTTAGGAGCTCAGAGTACAAAAAAAACTTAGCAAAAAAAAGCAAAGCAAGAAGAAAAGCAGACTAGAAATGAAAAAAGAGCTATAAAAGACATGTCATATGGGTCAGTGCTTTAGATAGGACAAATGCCATAAGGAACATTTCACTGGATTTCTAAAGCCTCTTTTATGATGCTAAAATTCGGGTCTCTATGACAATTTTCTGGTGGCTATAAAAATTCCCCTTTCTTCCTCCCCGCTACATAGAACAGGAAATTCCTGATCTTTCTCTTTCTCAAAGCTTAAATCAACCAACCAGAAACACAACAGGTACTTACTCTTTCGGACGTGGGTCACTAATTATGTGGCCTACCCTCTCAGTCCCTAAAGTGCTCATGCTGGTCTCCTAAAAAGACAATAAAGTGAAATATGTCACCACTACTATGAACACCAATACACAGTACAAAGCATACTATTCTGTCAGATTTTTTTGAAAAGTACCTCAAACTTACTATATCAAGTTCATCCTTTCTTACAACTGTGGTTAAAGTCAAACTCAATGACATTAGCCTACAGTTGGGCCCAAAGGTTAACTGGTTTCCAATGGGCCTAATATGCTTACAGTTAGACTATAAGCTTCATAAAGGTAGGGACTATCTTGTGAAGATTTGTATCCCTCCCAGATATGTAGTGCAATGCCTACTACTAGTGACCGTTTGCTAAATGAGCTGAAGGAATTCCTAAGTACTCAAAGGCTAAAATTAGTCACCACATATTGGTATCCTACTAACCAAACCATTTTCTCCTCCCCCTCTTTCCCAAAAACAGAAACTGGTACTGTTTTTACAAACTGATAAGTCCTTTGCCTAAACTTTAAACATCACAGGCCTCAGAAGGTAGTAATGTAAATGATCACATGGAACCATCATCTCTGGAATACAGCAAAATGACAGGAAGAACTCACCCTTCACTCAACATGAACATCCATTACAGTATCTGTGAAGGCAAATGGACTAGGCTGTGTGCACATACTAATACATAACATGAATAAGAGTTGCACAAATATGTATAAATGTTAAGGCTGGGTAAGCACAAGTCAAGTGTGCACAAAAGTCAAGAAATATATAAGCCTGTTGTGTGCACACAGTCTCTGGACAAGTATTTTGTGTGTTCATCTATGTGGTGAATTAATCTAAGCATTAAGCCGCACATCTTAGCATAACAATTTGCTATAGAAAATTAATTTGAGGTCAGGTTCTGGGCGGGAATGGAGCTAAATGAAAAGGTTTTACACCCTGTATTCTTCATCTCTTATGGCCATGCCTCCTGGTCACAGACACACATGAGGTAGGGGGGCCACGGGGAGAGATGGGTGAAAAATGGGCTATTTGTTACAGCAGAAAAATTATTAACTTAAAGTGCCGTAATGTTTAAATTTACAGTTTATTACTGTGTAAATTACAAGCCGTACTTTCAGTAATTAGCAGCTCGCTGGCAGGGAGCTGTGAATGAAACTCATTATTTATGATTACAATTTAGAGAAAGAGAAGAGAGGGACAGGAGGGGATGAGGAAGTAGGGGGAGGTAGGTACAACAGTGACCTCCACTGTAAATGACAAATACCCCTTTAAGGTGATGAAGATGAATTTAACAAGTAAATATCATCCTATTCATTTGAAACTGTTAGAGATATTTCCAATACACTCTTGTTCTCTCCTAGCTAAAGAAAGCCTGATTTGCTCCATATCAGATGAAGGCTCTTATTTTATAATAGCTAAAAGCAACTTGGATAGCTGGAGAGGAGACTATTAGCTATCAAATCTAGCAGACAGAGAGAGGGAAAAGTGAAAGAGCCCTCTCCACCTTCCCCTTCTCCTCACTACACACTCTTAATATGTTCTCCAACCAGGCTTCCAACATAGCAAAAGGGATATGGGACATTTTAATGTACACAAAAGGAGCTTCAGAAGTAGGTATTGTTCCAACAAATGAGTCCAGGCAATGTAGTGTAGCACAAAAAGTGCCAAACTTAGACAGATAATATACCTCACTAATTCTCAGATTCCTCACATAGGATGAGGAAGCTGGGCTAGATGACCTCTACACAGGGGCAGGAATATGACTACAAAAAGTGAAATCTCCTTTTCTACAGAAATTTTTTAAAAACTGATAATTGGTTCATTTAAACTTTAGAAAATAAATACACTCTCAATTATCTTCCTCATATTCCTGCCTCTAACTCTCCTTCCAACCCTCTCTAGCCAAGTAGGGCTCCTATTCTTCTGGCCCTGATTATACATCTCACAAAGCTTTAAAAAAAAAAAATAAGAGACTGAACACTGCCTGTGTCCTAAATGTCCCTAAAGAGTCCTAAAGCCTCATTCAGTAGCAGTTATTATTCCTGATGGTCTCTGATAAATATGAGAAGAAAGGTCAAAACTACAATGAACGAAGAAATCTTCATAAATTTAGACAAAGTATCATGATAAGAGAAAAGATCTCAGAGCAAAAAGATTAAGTGACAAACACAGTTAACACAAAAGTAAGGTGAAGTACAGGACATGAGGAAAGTGTAGGTCTACAAGATGATTCACAATAAATCCTCTGTTGTCCAATATTTTCTCTACCTGAAGCAAAGGACAGAATTAAGCTTAAATAAGAATTGGGGGTGAAGGAGGGGGGGCACGTGTCAAGGGGGCCAGAAGCTCTGTGGCTTTCTATTCATTCCCAAATGAATTCAGTTCTGTTATATGATCTAACAGAAATAATACAAGCATGCTAAATTAGCTATGTGGAATACTGTTAACTTACAGCAATATTTTTGATTATGATAAGTACACATACTCAATAGGTAACATTATTATTACCCTACTTAGGCCAATAAATACACTGAAGGGCATCACCTTTCCAACAAGCCTTCTTCGTCCTTTTCTGAGGCATCGGGCAGCAGCTCCAGGGAGCCGATTCAAGCGTGCATGGAACCCTGGAAATAAAGGGGAAAGACCTCAGCATTCAATTTCAACTAAGCAAGTATTTATTAATCAAGTACTATATTTAAGGCACCATAGTAGGTGCTGGGAATTTTTAAAACAATAAGCCAATGAAACCATGTCTATGCCCAAGGAGCTTATAATCTTAGCACTAAATAAAGCCAACTACTTATTGAAGATATTTGCTACCTTGAAGGCTTTACCAACAAAACTCTACTAATTTTGCCATGGAAATTGAACTCATAAAGTTCATTTCCCAAACTTTAGCTATTCCAAAACCTCAATCCCACAATTTTAAATGTGCAGGGAGAATCTATGATGTCATCAGTGTGACGAACTACCGTCACCAGTGAAGATTACAACCCATGCATATAAGTAAGTCCTAGCTTATTATTATATTTATATGACCAATCAAGGCATTTACAAGTTAAGCGACTTGTTTAGGGTCACACACCTAATATGCATCAGAAGTGGGATTTGACCCCAAGTTTCCCGTTTCCAAACCCAATACTTTATCCCTTGTGTCATGTTTCTTCTACAATTAAGTTGTGTCGTTTTAAATAAATGGTCATTCAACAAACATTTATTAAGTACCTACTACGTGCCAAGTACTGTCCCAGGCCAAGGGGGGGGTGGGCCATGGATAGGTGGACAGACAATGACAAATACAAAGAATGAAACAGCCCTTACTCTCAAAGAGCTTACATTTTTTAATGGGATGGGAGAGAGAGAAAGAATGAATATAAACAGAATAAACACAAAACATTCTGGGAGGGAACAAAAAGGGGAGGAGGGGGTTTGGGATAGGGGTTAGGAAAGGCTTCATGTAGAACATGCTACTTGAGCTGCATCCTGGAGGAAGGAAGGAATTCTATAAGGCAAAGGTAAGGAAAAGTACATTTTAGGCATGGAGAAGGCTGTGTTCCAGAAAGAGACAAAGCCCGTTTGGCCAGATTACAGAGCATAGGACAGGGAATACTATACAAAAAAGCTAGCCAACTTGGAAAGAGGTTTAAAAGCTAAAGAGAGGAGTTTATATATTATCTGAGAGGCAATAAGAAGCCACTGAAGTTTATTGAGCAAGGGACAGGCACAGGAAATCTTAAGGAAAACTGACTTGGCAGTTATGTGGAAGATGGACTAGTGCGGGAAAAGCCTGGAGGCAAGGAAACTGATTAGGAAGCCACTGTAATAAAGTAGGAAAGAAATGATGAAGGCCTGAACTAATATGGTAGCTGTGTGAATAGAAATGGGTTCAGATACCAGGGCTGCTGCAGAAGTAGAAATGGCAAAATTTAGCAACTGGATATGTGGGGTTAGAGTGAGGAGACAAGGAGAATGCCAAGGCTACAAAATTCAGAATTGGAAGGATGGTGCTGACTTCAACAGAAATAGAGAAGTTTGGAAGAGAAGTAGGTTTATGGAAAATAAAAATAATGAATTCTGCTTTGGATATTGTTAGTTTGAGACGTTTTCAGGACATCCAGTTTGTAAAGTCCAATACAGACAGAGATGCGGGACTAAAGTTCAGGGTCTACTAACTCAAAAATATGTTAAAAGATAGATTCAAATCAGCCTGCAACACTGATGCTAGTCTTTACCAAAAATCCAATTTATCTTACAACCAGAGAAGTAGAAAGCTGCCTATTAAAATCATTGCAAATTTTTCTAAGGTAACATGACTTAAAAAAAATTAAACACATACTAAAACTTATAAATTCAAATGAGTCGCCCTCTTCAAAGTCATAACCTAAAGTCAAAACCTATTTATTCCAGAGGTGCTATCACTGCTCATAACAATTCTGAAACTGACTTTAGAGCCATGGAATGTTCTTTCAAATATTCTCAATGATGAAGAGTCTTCATTCTTCGGTGGTGGATTTGATTTTTGAAAACAGTCTAAGTACTTCAGAGCCAAGTCTAGAAAACAGAGTAAATTGAAAATTAAAGTTTGGAGGCTAAAAAGGCAAGGTGACTATAAAATTAAGAATGATTCCTTAATTGATTCTGAAGGCAATGCCAAACAAGGAATTCTGAAACTATTTTGAGTAACAGCAGTTATCACCAGAATAAGGGTATAGCTTTTCAAGGAGCCTATTCTAAAGAACACAATATATGAGTTCTGAAATATATTAAAATGTTAGTAAGTCATACCTCATACACAGCTATTCTTTTACATGTAAAACTGACTGAACTAAGGATCTTGAACAGCTCCTGAAGGAGAAGAGAGGGAAGAAAAAAATAAGGAAAGAAGAGGGCACAAGCATTTATTAAGTGCCTACTATATGCCAGGTACTATGCTACAAAGTTTACAAATATTATACCTCAAACTAACCATATCAAATCTCTGTGGTAAAACATTAAGACACAGCACTGAACACAAATGAGGAGCTTCATAAAAACTTCCTGATTCATTACTGAGCATCCAAAGTTACTGAATTCTAGAGCTACAAGGGGACTCATATTCTAAACAGACATGGATACAGACAAGGCAGTCACTTGAGGAGGAAGCAGTTTCAAGAAATGAAATCCCTGACAATGGAGAGGACATTCAGCTGGGAATCCAGCTAAACAATCTGCTAAGCAGAGATGTTCCATCTAAGAGGAGTTCTTACAAGGTGAGAAAGGTTTACTCCTCAGATCTTTGGAGAAGGCAAGAATTTATGACCAAACCAAGAGAGAGAGAACATTATAAAATGCAAAATAGATGACTGATTACATTAAATTGAAAAGCTTCTGCACAAACAAAACCAATGCAACCAAGATTAGAAGGGAAGCAGAAAGCTGGGAAACAATTTTTACAGCAGGTGTCTCTGACGAAAGCCTCATTTCTCAAATATAGAGAGAACTGAGGCAAGTCATTCCCCAATTGATAAATGGTCAAAGGATATGAACAGGCAGTTTGCAGAGGAAGAAATTAAAGCTATCTATAGCAATATGGAAAAAATGCTCTAAATTACCACTGATTAGAAAAATGCAAATCAAAACAACTCTGAGGTACCACATCACACCTATCAGATTGGCCAACATGACAAAACAGGAAAATGATAAATGGTGGAGAAGATGTGGGAAAATTGGAACACTAATGCATTGTTAGTGGAGTTGTGAATTGATCCAACCATTCTGGAGATCAATTTGGAACTCTGCCCAAAGGGCTATAAAACTGTGCATACCCTTTGACCCAGCAACACCACTTCTAGGGCTGTATCCCAAAGAGATCATAAAAACGGGAAAAGGATCCACATGTACAAAAATATTTATAGCAGCTCTTTTTGTGGTGGCAAAGAAGTGGAAATTGAGGGGATGCCCATCAATTGAGGAATGGCTGCCCAAGTTGTGGTATATCAATGTAATGGAATACTATTGTGTTATAAAAAATAATGAGCAGGCAGACTTCAGAAAAACCTGGAAAGACTTGTCTGGACTGATGCTGAGTGAAGTGAGCAGAATCAGGAGGACATCGTACAGACGAACAGCCACGTTGTGCGATGACTAACTTTAACAGACTTAGCCCTTCTCAGCAATGCAAGGATCTAACACATCTCCAAAGGCGTCATGATGGAAAATGCTATCCACATCCAAAGAAAGAACTATGGAGTCTGAATGTAGATCAAAGTTGCTCTCCTTTTCTTTTGTTGTTTTGTTTTGTTTCCTCTTTCTTGTGGTTCCTTCTCTTGGTTCTAATTCTTCTTTACATTCTGACTGTGAATATGAATGTACAAGTAGAAGCCTATATCAGATTGCATGGTGTCTTGGGGAGAAGGGGGAGGAGTGAGGAGAAGGAGGAGGAGAAAATTTAAAACTCGAAATTTTATGGAAGTGAATATTGAAAACTAAAAATAAATTGTTTTTAAAAAATAAAATAAAATAAAAGAATGTAAAAAATAGTGTAAAACAGGAACAGAAAAAAGTGAGAAAGGGCTTCCAGGAACTGCACTACTACCACTAGCAGTTGCGAGTTGCCTTTGCCACACATGTCTCCTACACATGTGCCTCACTACAATTAAACTCTAAGGTTGAACACATTTTTTCCATAAATGCTGTATGTATTTTTAGGACAACGTGCTCCATATTTACAGGAAAAATTTTTTGTAATTATTGTTCTTAACATACCACTATAGGCCTCTGCTGACGGTCTACCAGATGGCCACTAATGGGATACACATTGGTGGGGGCTCATGAGTTATACAACTTTATAGCTTATATAATTTATATAACATTGTATAACATGAGAGAGAGAGAGAGAGAGAGAGAGAGAGAGAGAGAGAGAGAGTGTGTGTGTGTGTGTGTGTGTGTGTGTGTGTGTGTAATATAAACACTATGTGTGTGTGTAATATAAACACTATAGTGTTAGGAATGAATAACCAGAGAGTGTCAACTACTCTTTGGGGACCCAACCCAAAGGTTCTAGAAAAAGTTGTGGGAATAGTACACCAATACACATATTGGTTGTATCCCCAGGAATAAGGATTATCTCATTCTTTGTATTTTTATCACTTGTGCCTAGCACAATGCTTAGAACATAAGCATGTAAATGCTTGTCCACTGATTTCTAGAGGAAGAATTTCTAGCAGGGCTATGATATGACTTCTGGCTAAGATAACAGCCTATTGGAGGCAGGCAGATCCATTTCAACAACCCTAACTCAAGCAAAACTCTAAAAAATAGTACCAGGTAGAATAATAATCAAAAACTCCATTGTGGAACTATAGTGACTACAGTGACAGTAAAGAAGATAGGAGGGAGAAATATATTTGAAAATAAAGGTGATATAAAAACAAAAGGTAATGAAATAAAATATTAAAATAAAGAAGGCAAATTTAATAATCCAAGTAAGAAATGATGAGAGCCTGACTTATGGTTGTAGCATTATGAGTGGGGAACATGGAAGAGATGAAAGAGATTTTGTGGCAGCAGAATCAACAAAATGTGGCAAGTGATTAGATATGAAGGGGTGTGGGAGAGTAAAAAGTCAGGATACTTCAAAGTGATGAGAATGATGGTGGAGCCCTTAGCAGAAAAAGGGAAGTTGTAATGAGGGGGAGGTTTAGGGGAAAAGATAAATGAGTTTTGTTTTGAACATGATAGTGACCAGGTATCCTGGGGGAGATCTCCAGCAGGCAGCTAGTGTTAAGGAACTGGAGTTCAGAGAGCTTAAAACTAGAGAAAAGAAATTTTGGAATCGCTTGCTTATAGGTAGTAATTAAGGCTATGGAAGTAGATAATTATGGTCATCAAGAACAACATCCATGCTAATGGAGTAAATACATACTGATCCAGCAAAACATGAAGAAATGAACAAATAAAAGAATCAGGAGAGAAAAGCATCATGGAAGAGTATAGGAGGAGAGGGTGGTCAATGTACTGAATGCTACAGAAAGATAAATAGTATGTGAATCGAAAGAAAAAAAGTCATTAGACTTAGCAGCTAACAGACTGTTAGTCACTCAGAAAAGTTTCGTTTGAGTGCTGTGGCTGCAAAGGAAAACTTCAATAGGTTAAGAAGTGAATAGGAGGTGAGGAATTTAAGTCAATGAGTGAAGACAACAACTTCTCGTATGAGTCTCATTATGAAAGGAAACACAGAGCTACGAGGACAGTTTGAAGGAGATGGCAGTCAATACATCATTATTTGAATGCACCCGAGAGTCTCAATTTCAATTCTTCAGATACTGAAGTATTCCATGCTTTTCAGTCATGCAACACAAATGAATGAATACTAGGTAAAAAAGATGAGCTTTTGTTTTTTACACTATTAAATACTGGCACTATTAAAATACCTCTGTAATTTCCCAAAGGCAATTTGGACTGCTTTCATGCTCCTGTTCAATTCTGAACTCAGTCTTGGCACAGAAAAGAGACCACCTTTTCCTTCGAGATGGGTGCAAAGGAAGAGAGAATGAAAACAATGTAGAGGGGTTTTGTGGCATGAAATAGGAGACAAGAAGTTGCTGACAGTAGATGGTCTCTATTTTTTTTTAATTAAAGTAGGACAACAGGTCCTTTGCTGGGGGGAAGGGGGGAGGATGGAATAAAGGGCTTAAGTATAGAAGTTTTAGAATAGGTACTGTAGAGTGTAAGTCAAATAAGAGAAAATGAAAATACTTCTCTTGGGCTACAAGGATCCAGTTGAGTTCAGATAACATAAATTTAAAGAAAATACTGCCTACATAGTTCTGTGACATCAATTAGCATGTAAATATAAACACACAAGATGGATTTGGGGGAGTTTGGTCAGGTGGGAGCCCAATCCTGAGCAAGGGGTTGGCAATTTGTGAATGGCAATAGTTCCAAATGAATTAATTAGAGGTTTCAAGAGTGTAAGGCAGTACAGAGCTGAAGTATTCAACTGTAGGACTGAGCATGTGAAGGAAACAAAGTAACATCAGAGCAGGGGTAATGTACTGAAGGAACATGAAAGAATGGAGGGGGCAGTGGGGATAAAAGTTGCAGCACAAATAAGTAATCTATTAAAATGAAAGGGTTGGACTAGACAGTCTTTAAGGGCTTTACCAGCTTTAACATTCTATAATTTTATGATGCCATAAACTAAAAATGAGAATAAAAGTTACTCAAAGAAATATCTTTTAATCAACTCTTAATAACAAGCCATTACCCTGAAACCATTTCTTACTGAAATCTGTTCTCATCAAGGCCCAAGAGTCAACATTTCAGCATCCCCTAGTGGGTAGCTAACAAACCTTTAGCTTCAATATGGTTCCACAAGTAAGAAGTAAGACAGTTGTTGACCTGCAGCATCCTAACAGGAATGCTATTGGCAGTACTGGACCGAGGGAACTCTTCTCAACTTACCATATACTCCACCGCACTCCACTTTATCTCAATCTTACAGATGAGGAAATTGAAGCCTCGAGAGACGGTGAGCCAAAAGCCTCCAGTAACCCAGATGGTTTTCAAGACCTCTAGAGTTAGTCCCATCCCAGTCTAAACTCATACTCATATAGTTGTCTGGAGGAATCCCGAGAATCCCAAGAATCCCAAGAGCATTCTCAGGCATTCATCAACAGGCAGATAGGAATTCATGGATCCTTCAGCTATGAGACAATTATCCAACCTGTAGCTAACCATATGTGTGGCCAAAAAATTAAATTATCATGAATCTTGTTTCCCAAGCACACTGGGGACTCACCTCTTTGAGCTGGACGAGAGGGCAAAAGGAATGTGGAATCTGAAAGTTTGTCTAGTCCTGCATCCATCCTCTCTACTTCAGATCGATGATCAGGTGCCCACTTGGGGAGGAGACTGGGGACAGTGAATCCTGAGACACATTCACCTTCATAGAACCAATCACTCTGTTCATCATCCCCTAAAACGGGTAAGCCAAGTTATCAATACTTAAGTCTTATAAGGAGGCCAAAATGAACAAAATTTCATTTTGTTTCATAATATCACATTTTAGGTAACCCTTTTAAAGTGACAGTTACATAAGAACTCAACCTCATAGTCTCCCTTCTCAATTAGTATCACCATTAAAAAGCACTTTTAACTACATGCCCACATATATATCAAATTGTATTAGATGGTACTGTCCAAAGTAGATGGTACTACCTACCTCACATTGTAAACAAGAGGCTTTGTAAACTTTTCTGAGATAAGAAGTGTGAGTTATAATTATTGCATGGCTTTTAAACTGGTTATTCTATACTATATCTAGTAGAAGAGTAAGGCTACCTGAAGGTTCCAAACCATAAATTGTCTTACAATCCAAATTTTGTTGTTTCTGGGATGCATTCTATATACTCAAACTTTATGCTGTATAAAGAATCTATATTCACATCTTCCTCCCCACTAGTTCATTAATGGGAGGGAGATAAGCAACTTAGCACTGGCTCAATAGGCCAGTTAATAACTAAGAAATTAAGACGAAAAACAGAATTTTTGAACTGGAAGGGATCTTAGTGATTATGTAATCCAATCCACTGGTTTTACAGATGAGGAAACTGAGGTCTAGAGAAATTATGTTCTTTGCTCAAGGTCATATACATAATCAATTATTAATGATGAGGCCTGGGCTGAAATTCCATCTCCTAGCTCTCAGTTTAAAATGTCTTCCTGCTACAGGGGAAACAAAATGTGCTTTGTTGTTGAGAAAACTTCTGCCTGCCAAAACAGAAATGTGATAAATTGCCTCATTCCTCTTCTCAAAACCACAGAATTAAGAAATGATGGGCAGGGCAACAAAGCACTACACCTGCTACCCCAGTAACAACTTAAGGGTTAATGGATACATTAATCGTGTGAATTACATCCTAGGAGGGCCACTTTGAACCTGCCAGCCATCTGAATTTAAACACAGGATCGTGACAAATGTTAAATCATTTTGAAGGTCTCCAAAAAACAAAGTTAATGCAGCTAACAAAACTGTATCTTGGTCAATGATCTGTATGCAACGATATTCCTATGAAAGCGGGTCTGCTCATTGTCCCCTCAGTAAAGGCACACCAATATAACTAGCAGTAACTGTCAAGAAAACCAGAAAGTAGTGGAATTAAAGATGATTTAATAAGACGTTCTATCTTACATGTGTTCATTACACCTTCTAATCTCGAAAAAAAAAATTCCCTAGACCTCACACTAAGAATATGCTACGGAGATAAATGTTTTCACATGAGAAATGCCAAACGATGCTCTGAAATGGGAAGGGGCGATTTCTAAGCATGTACATAAGACTTTTTTTTAAAAAAACAAACTCAATATAGCTTCACTGGGCCAAAAGAGATCTTGACAAGTCACCTAGATTACATCCCTAACTCTACTCAGGATTATACCTATACCACAAATTAAAAGATGACCATCTTTCTATTTGAGAGAGTGAGAGAGAGAGAGAGAGACTGAGAGAGACTGAGACTGAGAGAGAGAGAGAGAGAGAGAGAGAGAGAGAGAGTAAGTAAAAGAAGACCACCAAGAAAAAAATTCATAACCACCCTTGGCCATTCAATAGTTAATCCTCATTTTCATAAAGGTCTTCCTAAACTTAATCCTTTATACAACAGTCATGTCCCTGTATAAAAATAATGCTTCATAAACTTAAAAAAATTTACTAGGTCATTCTACTGTTTCTCTTTAAGTAAATCAAAATAAGGGATCAAATATGAGTAGTTTTGGGCAGTATATGCAAACGGCTTTCTGTGCATGTGAAAAGGACCACCAGACATGACCAGGACCGAGTCAAGAAATGGGACCCAACAAGCCTGCCTAGAGAGAAGGCCCCCAAACCAAACTAGACCACCTATAACTAATTTATCATTCCTTATAGTATTCAAAGTGGCATTCACCGTAACCTACATAGCATGGTATTAAGTAGTCCTGGACTAGTAGGAAGTTAAGAATGCTATATCAGATTTTAGCAGAGGAATGACAGCTCTGAGGTATGGTTGAGATAGTCCTATACTTTCCAGGCATAGCAGAATCCTTTCAAGCTTTTAGTGGGTCTGACAGAGTGAACTATGACTTAGAAATATAGTCACTATCATTGTGTCATTAACTCCCTACAAAGAATCCTAGAACATTAGGGCTAGTTTAAAAAAAAATCTAATCCAACTTCATCACATTAAAGAACTGCAACCCAGAAAGCAAAAACATTTCCAGAATCACAAGGGGCAAACCTATGAAACAAAAAATACATCTTTTTAGGCAGTAAAAGTGAAAAATATTATTATTAATATGTTAAACTTGTTTACAGTGTTCCATGTTACAAATTACATGTTTATAGAACACCACGAAGATTTTTCTACAATAAGCCACACTCAATAAAATTTTAATCTTTTTCAGGAATAAAAATATATACAGGCAATTACATTTTTCCTATACAAGAGTAAAAAAGTTTCATATATCACACAATTATAAAAGGTAATACTATAGACATATCTGTTGTCTCAGAAAAAATAACAGCCCAAAGACCCATCCCTATTATTCAAACACACTATATAGGGTGCCACATTCAAAAAGAGTCACTCTTATAATTACTAGAGTTTTCTCATAAATACTGAGCACGGCCTCAGGGCCCTGAGATCAAGATTACCTTGACGACCTTCATCATTGGTGAAGAGACCTGTGTCACTGCTACTACATACACTGCTGGTTTCACTGGAAAAAGAGTAAAACAAACAAAAACCATACATTACCTCAAGTCATAAAATATTTTAGACATCTCAAATTAAGTTTAAAGATCCCAAGATTTCATTCCATTCACAGACCCTACAAATAACTAAGACACGAAAAATTTCCAGAAATTCTTAATGGGAAAATTTCACATCCCAGAGAAGGGAACTCAAGGCTTCATAACTTCTGGAAACTTTTCATGTCTCATATGTGGAGTATGCGAATGCAATGAAATCTTTGGACTGAAACACTTTTTGATGATGTAACATTGCTTTAAAATTGCTTAAGTAGTTTACGGTATTACTCACATACATGTAGATATATGTAGTTTCCTCATAAAGAGACATTTGCTACAACAAAATGTTTATTTAGAAAGTGACAAATCAAGCTACCCTAAACTTAACTTTAATTTTTAAAACTTTTTTCCATAAATGCTGTTAAATGTTAATGAACCTAGCATATCTTACTTTTTGCTACTGTGTAAGGGCAGACAAAAACCCAAGAAACAGAATAAACCACCAATACCAAAATGCAACAAAGAAAGTTATGACATCTTCTGAACTTTGTGCCTGCAATGGTCAAGAAAGAAAGAAGCCAGGTGACGTAGAAGAAAAAAAGATACAGCCCCCACTACCACCAAACTCGCTTAATGCAATTTGACATTTCTTTTCATTCTCCTTTTTTTCTTCAATTTGACATTTTAATCAACCTCATTTTCTGAAACACCACCATTAACAGTTTCTGCTGTTTCTGATGATGATTTTTTTTATCATGTCTTCACAGATTTCTGAAATGAAGATTTTCCTAGACCAATATCTTTCATATGCTGCAAATGGAAAAACCTGAGGACGGCAAGAAGCACGAACGTCAAATAAAGGCATTGCAACCTATTACAAAAGAGATACATTTAGTAAAATTGCATTCTGGATGCAATGGCTAAAGATCAGAGGCAGCTGGTGGCACAGTGGCTAATAACAATGATGATAATAATAATAATAATAATAATAATGGTTAACATTTATATAGTGCTTGCTAACTACCAGGTAGGGTGATAAGCACTTTACAATTATGCTGGACTTGCAGTCAAGAAAACATTAAATCAAATCTTGCCCCAGATACTTAACTGTGTAACCCTGGGCAAGTCACAAATGCTATGCCTGTTTCTTCACCTGTAAAAGAGGGATTTAGACTCGATGTCCTCTGAGGTCACTTCCAATTCTAAATCTGTGATCCTATGATTACATTCTACAGCATTTAAACATACCTTCTTTGTCCATGGGAAGAGTGCTGGTTCTGGACTAAGAGGGCCTAGATTCGGTTCCTGCCTTGGGTGCTTCCCTCATCTATGACTTCAGGCGCACCAGTCAACCTCCTTGAACCTTTTATCTCATTTACAAAAGAAGGATTCTGGACTACAGAGTCTCTGAAGTTCCATCTGCTTTTAGATGTATGTTCCTCTGGCCCTAGGTCTACTCTGTTTTATAATCTAACCAAATACAGTAGTAACGTTAACAGCAACTTGTCTGACTCTGAATCTTGGCTATCTGCAGCAGCATGAATAGGCAGATTCTTAATAAATTGTTTCATTTTACTACATTCTCTACTCATAAATGTAAACACTGTTTCCTTTTTTCATTTTTTACATAAAGCCACAAATCTCAATTATGTACAGCTTGTTTTTTATTACAGTATACAATAAATTCAACACGAGTTCCAAATTATTCTGCTCTCCAATCTCCCTTGAGCTTCTTTCTATTCTCAGCTACGCATTTTTAATGCTTCACTGACACTTTTCTGTAGCACTATCACTAGTCCTCTCTACACTACAATTTCCCCTATACCAAAAAAACTCTCCATTATAAATGACAATAAGCATAAACATGATCAAGCCAAACAAATCCCCCTATTGGCCATTTTTGAAAATATACATCTCATTCTATATCTCTAATCAATCCATCACACAATGTTAAGTAGTGGGAGACATGCTTTATCATCTTCTAGAGTCATAGTTAGTCATTGCACAGATCAGAATGTTTGTCTTTCAAAACTGTCTGTCTTTATAATATTCTAATTATTCTATTATTTGTTCTCCTGATTTGCTTTATTTTGCATCAATTCATATAACTCTTCGAAGGTTTCTCTTACTCCATACCTTTTGTCATTTCTTATGATGCAATAATATTCCATCACATTCACATACTATAATCTATTAACCTGTCTCCAACTAATACCCTTCCCCCTTAGTTTCCAGTTCTTTTCTATAACAAAAAGGACTTGTAGGAATATTGTTATACATATGGGTCCTTTTCCCTCCTTTTCGACTTTTTGAGGTATATGCCTAATTAGTATTAATGGGTCAAAGGATATGCAGTTTAGAGACTTTGGTAGTATTGTTTCTTTCCAAAATCGTTGGACCAATTCATAACTCCACCAACAGTGCATGACCATGCCTGTGCTCCCAAAAATCCTTCTACAGTTATCATTTTCCCTTTTTGTCATCTTTGCCCAGCTGATGGGACTGGATAGTTGTTGGTGCATCTTTTCCCAAATGGTTACTGATAGTATGCTTTTCTTTTTTTGAGAATGCCGGTCTTAAATGAATCCCCAAAAATAATTAGGCAGGCTAATTATTTTTGTGGGTTCGTTTTCTGTCCTGCTACCTTGACTGATGTTTTCGCTTCACCTAATTTTAACTGATTATCCAGAGTTCTCAAAATAGATCATCACATGAACTAATCTTACTTCCCCTTTGTTTACCTTATTCCCTCAATTTCTTTTTTTTCTTGTCTTATTGTTCACTTTTCAAGAACTATATCAAATATTTGTGATGATAGATATTCTTGCTTTATCCCTGACTTTACTGGAAAAGTGTCTATCATTTCTCCATTACAAAGAACATACACTGGGCAAATAATATGAAGGTCAAGGTAATTTTAAAATTTCCTGCTTATGTTTTACATTACAAGTAATATCATTCCCAGGGAATAAAATGATCTTGTGATGACCTGTTCTATTTTTTTCTCTAGTCATCTAGTGTTACCTTGCCTCTCCATGAAGCTGCTGAAAATGTTTATATACAGTTAATTACCAAGTAACTTAGAGATGTTAAGTGGCACCCCCTTTCCCTTTGTGCAACAGCAGAGGGGCTTCTGGATCACAACTGGAAAGTGCTATTTTCTTCAGTGATACACCTCACAATCATAAAAAACATTTTTGCATGTAATTTTTTTTCTTTTTACATCTGAAAGACAGTTCTTATGTATTTAGTTAACAGTAGCATTTGGAAATTCATGTTTAAAAAATTCATATTTGAAAAAAAATCATATTTTCTTCCTCAAAAAAACTTCTAGTTTATTATATAACTTGCAGATAAGTGGTCAAAGTATATGAATATGAACAAAGGTTTCAATAGAGGATTAGAAAACTATGAATGGCATTAAATCATGCTTCAAAATCATTAATAGTAAGAGCATTCCAAATTAAACCATCTCTGAGAATTTACCTCACTCCATGCAAATGGCAAAGATAAAAAATAAGGAATCAAGTCAATGATAAAGAGACTATGTTAGGACAGGTAACAATTATGCAATTATTTGGTGAAGCTGCGTAGTAGTTCAACCATTCTAGATGTCAATTTGTAATTATGTAAGAAAAGTGACTAAACTATCCATATTTTTTCAGTACTATTCTACTATCTATATACCCCAAGGAAGTCAATAACAGAAAGAAAAAATGCAAAATATAAAGAAATTTTTCAATAAAAGCCTGATCATTTCATTTTGAAAGTGTGTGTGCGTGGTGTGTGTGTGTGTGTGTGTGTGTGTGTGTGTCTTATCCTGGAGACTGTCAGATTACCAACAACAGAACTTGTCATATCCTCAGAGGTTAATTCCACAATATAACTTGACAAGACTAAACACAGCAACAAAAGCTATACTAGAGCATCTCATGAGGCACTCAGTTCTTGAATGAGTTCAAAGGGAAAAATAAGAAGCAAAGAACCTTAGCAGGAAACTTCAAAACCAGTACAAATAGCAAACAGTCAACCATTCACCAAAATCAATACCAAATTTCTCTGTGTAGCTGAAAAACACTTAAATTTTTGTACTTTCCAAGCAGGCAAGAAATGAAAATGCATTGGTTACATTAGCGTAAACAGGGTTCTTGGTACATATGCCTAAAGTCAGAATAAAATAGTCCCAGCTCTTCCTGCAGCTTACTTGTCCCATCTCCCATTCCAGGAATACAGTGAAGAAAGAGGAAGTACAGTATAATAAACATTAGATTTGGATTAAAGAAGAGCTGGATTCAAATTCTACCTCAAACATTTAGCAGCTTAGCAAGCTCCTAGGCTTACTTACCTTCTCTGGGCCTACTAATCTGTAAAATGACACGGACTTCAGTTCTAAATCTATGATATTATGAAACTTCTGACCTGCAGTTTAACTCTCAAGGGAAGGGGCTCCTGGGCAACAGCAAAACTAGCCTGGTAAGTCTCTTGAGCTGGTATCCTGCCCCTTCCCAGAGAAAAGTAAATAGAGAGCACAGACTCCATGAAAATTAGCTCTACTCTGAACCTGTTCTGAATGAACAGGTTCACTTTAGCCTTAGGTATGTGGGATTTTGGGGGGCGGAGGGGGGGTAGATTAAAAAACTGTCCTTTTAATGCCATTCTCTTATACTAAATAACCTCAGGATTATTTCCTAAAGAACACCTGAAATACACTCACTGTGATCTTTTAAGAGTTTGCCCCCAGGGTACCTAATGACTTTCCTCTGAACTCAATACAAAGACTTGATTTTAATCCATTCAATATTTCTTCAGAGTATAGAAGGAAGACCTTCAAGTCAGGCTTTAAAAAAAAAAGTTTCAGAAATAGCAGGTAGAACCAATTCACCATTTCTTAAGAGAAAATGCCTAACTTTAGGTCCCTAATTCTCACCTTCTAGTCAAAATTTCAAAGTTCCTCTAAATTCTCAACACTAGGAAAAAGTGTAAAATGCTCTCTCCAGAACAGCCTGCTCTTTTATCTAGAGTTTGCCAGTCCTATCACATCATTTGCCACTAATGCCTGTAAGATTGAAAATGAAAGGACCTGTTTAAAGGCCTCTACATCAGCTAGTAAGGATCACAATGTGTCTCACTATTCTCAAGAGGTGATGGTAGTAGTAGTAATAGCAGTAGAAGAAGTTAGTATTCTGGTTATTTACACATAGAATGCTTATAAACAAGTTATAAAAGTAAAATGAGTGCCCTCAGAAAAACTAATACACATTACACATTTTAAAAAATAAAAATGGGATGGTTCTGTGAACATACTTTGATTCTAAAAATGGGGCCTTTTTAATCTAATAGACCTAAATTACCACTGCCAACAACTATATAACTTTATAAAAATTTTAAACAATCAGGTATTTCTATTGAAGATACCCAAAATTCTAAAGTGCTACTACGCTCATAGAAGTAGCAAAGTATATAGAAAAATGTCATAGATCAGCACCCCTATTTATGGGACTAAAAAACAGTATCTTCAACCTGCCACACATGTCCTTTTTCCCAGCTCCAGTAAGCACTGATTAATGACCTCCACTTGCAAAGGAGGCTACTTACCTTAACCATGAAATAATGAATGCTATTGATTCAACAAGCTACTGCTATAGAGTGTTATTGATCACTCAATCTTTGGTTAAAATGGTCCTCATTTAGCAATTTCAGTGTCGCAAACACCTAGAGCAAAGCATGCTCATAATTAAAGAGTTTGGAGGAGTTTAAGTGAAAGGTGATGGACAGAGAGCTCAGCTTTCATCCATTTATTCCTGCTTCTGAACTATTGTTTGTGTCAGAAGGGATATTGATTTTCTATAAAAATAAGAAAACAAGAGGCACTGCAGGGCTGCAGAAGGTCAGCCTGGGCTACAAAAGGAGGGGCAGGCTTAGCACTCTGTCTCTGTCACTTGCCTTCTAGGAGAAGGGAATATTTTCTTTCCTGGGAAATTGGCCTTTAATACATCACTTCAGGAAGGCTCTCGGCTGCCACTTCAGGCTATCACCAAACCAATTCAATTAACCCAAGAGAAAAGAGCTGAACTACACATTCAGTGGAAAAACCAAGTTAGTCTGTTAGACCACCATCCTATGATTAGGCTGTGTGAATCAACTCATTAGCTGTTGCTGAACAGACTTTGATATATAAACTGCAGGAAAAAATTCGATAAAATACATCTTTTGTCTCTCCCCCCAAAAAAATCTTAGTCATAAGATCTATGTACACGTGTGTGTGTGTGTGTGTGTGTGTGTGTGTGTATATACACATGCACAGAAAATTAATGACAAATAACCAAATCTGTATCCTATATAACATGTTTGTATATGTATAAATAACCTGCAGAAAGACAGACACATACATGAATATACAATAAGAGATACATTCATGATTGTTTTCCGTAGCTCAAAAAAGAATTGGTTCTCACAGGATGATGAAGGGAAAGGGAAAAATAGACAAAAACAAAAACAAACTTCCACATCTTGAATTACTTCTAATTTATAAGGGAAGCAAAGAGAATCCTATAAAAAGTAGTAAGCACATTTGTCATTAACAAAAAAACCCAAATTTTAACTACCAATATTTTGACAGAAGCTTCAACTCAATGCCAGTAACAGCCCTGGAGGAGCAAGGAGAACTCTCCCATTTCCCAATAGAGGGAATCTAAAAGGGGGAAAACATGTACAGCTTCTCTGTTTTCATTTACATTAAAGTCCTGATTAGTTAAGATGTGGTAGACTTTAAAACTCTTAACAAGGAATTGTTCCCTCTGCTTCTGACATAATTCCATCCCAAGATTCCTTTCTAACTACTAGAAGAGGATTGGGGGCAGGGGGTAAGGGACATTAAATAAAATTCTGAGAAGTGTCAGGCACAGGAAGCTCTTGATATCCCTTGCACTGTCTACACCCCACGGATGGTCAAAACTGGAAGAGTTATTTACAATTTGAAAAAAGAAATGTGTGTTCCTGACACATCCTCAGATCCTTGAGAATTATACCCATCAACCTGTTTTCAAGAAAAACGTGGTTAAGAAACAAAGCCCTAAAAGAGGTCATAAGTTGTGAAATGTGGAACATACCAACCCATCCCCTTCAAATAATCCAGATAACCAAGAAGTACACAGTCAAGACTAAATCCTATCAGATAAAATAAATGTGCTGATGAGCCAAGGCGGAAGGTAAGAGAGACTGATGTAGCTGACTAATTAGAGGTTCCACATCTAGAAACTAGATTTTGGAAAAAAAAAATACATATACATATATATATACACACACACACACACACACACACACACACACACACACACACATATATTGTTCAATCTTCGGTAGGGATTCTTAACTTCAGGCTTGTGACCTTTTAAAAAAAAATTTTTGAAAAAATATTTCAATGTAACTGGTTTCCTTTATATGTATATCTTATTTTATGTATTTGAAAACATTATTTTGAGCAAGGATTCATAGGTTTCACCAAACTGCCAAAGGGGGTGAGCTGGGGCCTAGATTCTAAGCAATAAAAAGAAAATAAAGCAGAAAGAGTGGAGTAGAAAGAAAATAGTTATATCTATATGTAAAATAATCTAAGAAATAATCAATGTAAAAAGAAAAAAATGATGCCATGGAAAGAAGTTTCTAGAACAAAGTCATAAGCTATTATCCCAAAGTACACTGATAATTTATTAGTAAAAATTAAAATTTTGTAAATATGCTAAAAATGAAAGCCTAATGATCTAAGAAACTAAGAACTATAAAAAAATAACCAAGAAGGAAGAAAACTTGGATAAGTCAAGAGTTTCAATGATGTGAAAGAGAATAAAAACTTAACAAAGAAACCTGTTTCCTAAACTACAGAATTCAAACACATACACATGAAGAGAGGTATTTAAATAATGTATTCAGAGAAGGGAAGGAAGTCAAACTATGAACTCCCCTTGATATATTTCTGAAGACTAGAGAATATAAGGTTTAGAGTGAAATCAATATGCTAGGATTAAAAACCAATCAATCAATAAATACAACAGACATTCAAGCACAAGGCAGCTTTTCCTGTTTCTGACACATCCTACCCTAAACCTCCCATGATTTATACCTGTGCTTTCAAGACATGTTTTAGAAAAGCAAAGTCCTAGCAGAGGTCACAAGTCCTTCAGTGTGAAGAAGTTTAGACTGACACAGAAAAAAGGCTCATGGAAGACATAAAGGTGAACTTCCTCAATGGGAGGTCTACCAACTGCCAATGCACTAGGTTCCCCCTATATGGAGTAAAACGGTTAAGAAAAACTATGCTGACATGTTAATCAAAATTCCTTACAGGCAACTCTTTTATCAAACTTAATATGAAAAAGCTAATAGGAACCAATATTCTTTTTATTTTTGACGCTTCCTGTGCATAGAATCTGATGGTTTATATGTTAGACTTGCTACATATTTGAATAATCTAAGTGTTTCAGTAGTTTAAAACTCAGATATTCCTAAGTAATTCATAATATGTGAAAATTTTGACATAAAGTGCAGCAGTCTTTAAAGTAAAATTCAAAGTTTCACATTACAGGCACAAAGCTTCTAATACCTACAAAAACATTCTCACAGGTACAACACAGAAGATGGATGGTCTATGAATATCAACTCTTGTTACTGAGATCATTTAAGAAGCCTGGAGATATCTAAGCTATTTGTTAACATAGGACTACAAAATCAAAACTGAAGAAGCAAATTTGTCATAAAAGGCTGGCATTGGAAAAGGTCAGTTGGGAAAACCTTTGATTTGTGTAGGAGGTGGCCTCACCATTCTGACATGTTCTCATCAGAGCCCTGTTTTTGTTCATCAGCTTCACACTCCATCCTCTCCTTCCTGACCGATTTGCTAAGGAAAGTCCTATTATTTTCTGTGGACTCACACAACCCATGGCCTGATGAAGTCCAGGGAGCATTCTCCTTCCAACGTGACAGCCGTTGCTTCTTGGCCGATTTGAACCTGCAACCTCTCTCGTAGCTCCAATCTGACACCTTGAGTTTTTGTTGGAGGCTAGCAGCCACTTCTGAGGTCACTCTCTTCACCTTCCTCCTCCGCCTCAGCGGTCTACAGGGTGCATTCTCAGTAAAGGAGTCTGACTCATGCCAGGAGTGCTGCTTACTCTTTAAGGTGGCATTGAGAGCTGGATGTCGCTTGGCCACCATTGTATCATCAGAGTCACTGAAGTTGGTGACTGCAGCCACTTCCCGACAGTCTTTCAGAGCCTCATCCAAGCTAGACTCAGAGGCCTCACTATAGCAGCAAGTATGCTCAGCTAAGTGGGTGAAGTCAGAACGCCGCTTCCGACCCCTCCGTTTTCGAAGTTGTCGTCTTTGCTGTCGAGGGCTCAGAGCCATCTCCTCCCACAACTCATCTAGCTTATTTTGCTCAGATGTTTGCTCTAAGGCCGAGGCCAAATCATGCACCAGCTCATCCATGAAGCCACATCTGCCAAAAACAAGAATTAAAAACGAAATTAGAAATTAAGTGAAGCAAATAATGTTGTACATACCATATTACCATAGTATATACTCATACACCACTAATAACTTCTGACACTTTATAAATATACCATACCTGGAACTAAAAATAGAGGTAGAAGTCACCTTTCATTAGAATGCACTCTAACTCCTTTCTCACAATCTTTGCTCTCCCCAAAAAACCTTCTAAAAATGTGGTTGGCACATGCTCTATGCCAGAAGAGTGCTTGTTTTTATAAAGAAGAGCCACAAAGTTTCACACAAAACAGAAAGCCTGATGAAATGGAAAGAGCACTAGACTCGGGGTCACTGGGTCTTTTGTAAAATGGGATCTTTTGCAAGAATGACAAATATAAAGGTATTATCTAGCAACTCACAAAAGAGAAAACTGCTTAATGTCAGCATCCAAGAACACAGCTCAGTATGAAAAAACTACTTAACACCACCAGCCCTTTAAGAATACTTAAAAGGAATTAAATAATTGCCAACACTTAATTTTCTCCTTAAAGACACTGGCATCCTTGCCAATTAAAAGTCTTATTGCAACCCCCCCCCAAAAGCACCCCTAGATACCAACAAACAAAACCAGGCTAAATCTAAAACTGAAATGACTATTTGTATGGTTCTGGACTTTTGGTTTAAGATTCCTGGCTAATTGGCTTTCCAGACTTTTTATTCACACTGATTCAAAATAATGAGACTGAATTTTGAAATTTCACACTGGCTTAAACGACAAATTGTACTGTAAGACAACTTCACATTCAAAATGTTCAAGATGAGAGCGGTGGGTAGGATCTGTTTTCAAAAATTCTGTCAGCTTCTGACAACTTTTCAATAAAATAACCGCAATACCATTTCTCCAAAGTGTGGGGTGGGTGTGTGGACTAAGTCCCAACCCCTTTACAACTTATATCCCCAGTAAGGGAGGACCTGAACCAGGAAAGAGGGGTATTATTTAATATTTTCTTATTCCTTATTAAGTACATTTTAAGCACAAGTCGAAAAAAAAAAACTTAATGCTTCCTGCCATGTTTAAAGGTGGTGGTTACTAATCAGCATTTTGTATCTGTGTATCACAACAATTTGTACATTCCCTCCAAGTCATCCACACCTGCCCAGCCTGTGCAATTCTTGTTTATTCCCAAAAAGGCCACTCTATGTGCTGGAGGCCTTCCATGCTTTCTCCTCACAAGTAAACTTATGAGACATACATTCCTGATATCTACCTGTTATCCCTTGCCATGATTTATGCCTATGCATAACCTCACCACCTAACCAACCCACCTTCTTTTTCAATCATACGTTTCCCTAACGGCAACTTACGAAACAAAGTATTCTGATACCAATTTAGGACTGCAATGGGCTTTAAATCATTCCGTTTTCATTATGCAGTCAAGACAGCAAATTCTATGTAGAATGCCATCTACTATAGTAACTGGTAGAATATACAAAGATGTAATTACCAAGAAGATGATGTTCCTGACATATAATTCAAATTATCAAACTGCTGGAAGATTGAAACAAAAAATGACATTTTGCCTAAAAAAAAAATTAAAGTAGCTGAAAATCACTGGTGTCCTGGAATCCAAACAAGATTAAAAAAAGGGGGGGGAAGGTGGTGTTCTATAACCTCACTGACCCTAGAAAGAGTTCACTGCTCTAAAATCTCAGGCTCATTGATTAAACAAACTTTAATGAACATACTAAGTCTGCACTAGAAAAGTTTAACATATATATATATATATATGTATATATATATATATATGTATATATATATATATACACCCCTATATATATCTGTGTGTGTGTGTGTGTGTGTGTGTGTGTGTGTGTACGTACACACGCACACACATTCCTAATGGAAATGCCTTAGAAGTAAGTGCCCTTTCCTCCATCAAATACTATGGCTCAAACAGGTGATGTCAGACGAACTTACAGACTCACACACCTCCACCCTCAAGTGCACGGAAATCCAAGGCAGACACACACACAAGACCAAATGAAGCATCCCTGTCCAAGTTAAGAACTGAAGCTGTTTGACAGATGTGGACGGCAGACTTGGGAAATGCTGGAAGAAAGGAAGATCTTGCTCCTCCCAAGGCAGACCAAGAGCGATTTGGGATCCAATACCAAGGGGCCTGCCATGGGCTCAGTAGTGGGCGAAGAGCTCTTTTCAGGCCAGGCCACTAGCATCTACAGGCAAAGCAGTCCCACCCCCCAGAGTGCAGACGGGTGGGTGGGTGTGCGGACTAAATCTCAACCCCTTTCTATTACCTCATCTTGGGGAAGGGAGGCCTCGGGCCCCAGATCAGTAAAAGGGGGGAAGGGGGAGGAGGAGAAGACAGGAAAAGGAAGGATGGGGGAGGAGAGGAAAGGAAGGAGAGGGCAAGGAGGAGAAGAGAAAGGAGAAAGAGGAGGGAGAGGGCAAGGAGGAGGAGGGAAGGGAGGGGAAGAAGTAAAGAGCAAGAGGGAGAAGGAAGGTAGAGGTGGGAGAGGAAGAAGGAAGAGACGGAGGGGAAGGAGGAGGAAGGAGGCAAAAGGCGTTGCCTAGGAAACAGGGCCCAGGGCCCCTCTGGAGGCCTGGGGCGTCCCGGGGAAGGCCCCGGGACCCTGACAGCCGAGGCCCAACGCACCAGCGGCCAACTCCGGATCCCCGCCACCCTCCCCGGGGCCCGCCCACCACCATCGCACACCTAGGGGCTGCCCCGTCCCTTTCGCCATGGTCCCCCGGGGGTCCACGTTCCGGATCCAAGAAGGAGATGCCTGGGACCCGCGGGACCCGGGGCCCCAAGCTTCCGCCCACCTCCAACTCACCGGCTGCCGCAGCCCCCTTCAACGGCCACCGCAGTTTGGGCCCCGTCTCTCCGCGGGGGTTTCCCTCTGTGACCTCATTTCCGGTCGCGGCCAGAGGTGGGAGGAGCAGGAAGGCGCGAGAAGTCCTTCCCCCCTCCCCTCCCCCGTGCTCCGGCCCCGCCCGCGCGCTTCCGCGAGACCGCCTGGCACCAGGGGAGACCAGCTGGGGCCTCAGAGAGGAAAGGGGTTTTGAGCGAGGCACGTGCGCTCCGCCCCGGGGGCGGGGCCGCCGCTGAGGGTTCCGCCACGCCTTCCGGAGCTTCTGGGCTCCCAGAGTGTGTGGATACGTCTCCTGCCGCGCATCCTCTCAGTGCTGGAGGCATTGCGTAGTTCCCAGCTTGTTAAAACATTTGCCTCCTTTTTTTAAAGAAAGCACATCTGACCTGACAGGGGCACCCAGAGTTTAAGTGACTTGCCCAGGACCACCCACTCAGTATATGTCCTGAGACTAACTTAATAGCTGTGTGACCGTGGACAAGGGAGTCTCTTAGCCTCTCTGCCTCAGTTCCTTCTGAGAAACCTCTAAAGGGCCTTTCAGAGGTCTTGGGCCACCAAGAAAAAATAACCTCCTTTTCTTCTCCCTTTGAGTCAGGATAGAATCATGGATCAGGAGTGAAAATGTTTTAAATGAGTTAACATATGGAAAGTCCTTTGCAAACCTTAAGTGTTACATAAATGCTGCGATCATCAATTATTATTATAGCAGCCACGAGCCTCAGAGACCAATCTACAATGCCCCTCATTTAAAAAAAAAAAAAAAGGAAACAGAAGGTCCCAAGGTGGTCAAGGGACTAGGACAGAATGCTGCTTCTAAGCTGTGAGACCCTAGAGCAAGTCATTTTCCTCACTTTTGTCGTCTGTAAAATGGAGATAATAACTACTCCTTCAAATGAGATTTATAATGTGTTAAGCCCCATGGCACAGAGTAGTCCTCTTCAGAGTGAATTCCCACTATTTCAGAGAAGTATTGTTTATAAAGATTGCAAGGCATTTTACAAATATCTCATTTTATCGTCAGACAACCCTGGGAAATAGGTGCTGTTATTCCCATTTTACAAATGAAAAAACTGAGCTGGGAAATAAATACTATTAACCCCATTTTACAGAAGAAAAAACTGAGGCTGAGAGGTTACATTTAATTCAATAATCATTTATTAAGTGCCTACTGTGTAATAGGCCTGATTTTAAAAAAACAGGCTAAAGACAGTCCCTGCCCTCAAGGGGCTTACAATCTAATAGACTTCAAAGCCCACAAACTGGCTATGTGACTATGGGCAAGTTACTTAAACTCTCAGTGCCAACCCTCTTAAATTCATAAATTGAAGAGTATGCCTTGACCTGCATTGATAGAGAAAGTTTCTTCACATCAATGAATTTAATTCATAAGATTACAAATCTACAACTGGAAGGGACCTCACTGGCCGTGTAGTATAAACTCCTCATTTTACGGGTGAAAAAACCAAGACCTCAGAAGATAAAATGTTTTGCCCAAAGTCACATAGTAGTGTCAGAGTTGGGATTTGAACCCAAGTCCTTTGAAGAAATAGTGCTCTCTCCAGACCCAATGATGTAGTACAGTAGCAGAATGAGAGTTAGGGTGTCTAAGTTCTAGTCCCCAAGCATTGCCTCTAATTTAAGAAAGTCACTTCACATCTGTGCTTCATTTTCCTCATCTGTAAAATGAGAGGCTGAACTAGATAATCTCTAGAGCCTTTCCAAGAGCTAAAATTATGTTATTTCTCAGGAATCATACACACTTAGAATTGGAAGGACCCCCTTAGAGGCTATATTTCAACAGGAATCCTCTCGCTGACATTTCCCCTTCCAGACTGATTCATTATTTTTTTAACTATGTAAAGAGGCCATTCTCTGCCTCATTTTTTACCTAGGCTTAATCATTGAATGGGCTCTGCATCAGTCAAACTGAGACCTGTTAAAGACCTTAGCTTGAAAATGCCAAGGTCTCCCACTGTATTTAGGGCCATCTCCAGTCATCCTGATCTATATCTCCCCACTGGACCCAGATGGCTCTAGAGAAGAAAGTGAGGCTTGTGACTTTGCACAGCCCTGCCTCACTTAAACCCAGTTCACTTGCATGTCGTGGCTTTCAGAACAAAGGACAAACAACAGCAACTTTATATGGCATAGGGTCCAGTCTTCTCCCCATCCTGGTCACCACCCTAAACGTTTTTACAGTGGTGCTGCTCTACAGGTGAAATAGTCATTTAGCACCCTGCTAGATCATAAAGCTAATTTAATGCAAAGATTTTAAATATCGTGCTTCACAAACACACCCCTTTCTAACTTGAGCATTTTTTCAAAAAAGATAATCATGATAGCAGTGTTGTCTCTTGCATTCACAAAAGATGCCACAGCCTTTTCATATCAGTCATCTGTGAGCTGGAATCATTTTCTCTCAGATGTTGGATGCCATAAAGGCTAAGGTTGATTCTTTGCAACTTCTACCAAAAAATGATTTTCCTCTTGTTCTTCTCTCTAGGATAAGGCAGGATAAGTCTAATCCGTCTCCCTGGAAACAATATTTGAAGACAGCTAATGTGCCACCAGGGCAGCTAGGTGGCACAGTAGATAGTGGGCCAGGCCTAGAGTTAGGAAGACTTACCTTCCTGAGTTCAAATTTGGCCTCAGATACTTACTAGCTTGTGGGATCCTGGGCAAGTCTCTTAATCCTGTTTACCTTAATTTCCTTACCTGTAAAATGAGCTGGAGAAGGAAATGGCAAATCACTCCAGTATCTTTGCCAAGGAAACTCCAAAATGGGGCCACAAAGGGTTAGACATCAGTGGAACAACTCGATAACAACAATCTGCCACCTAAACCACTCAGTTTTCTCTTCTCCCAGTTAAACATACCTGGTTCCTTTAAGCAGTCTTCAAATTATACAGACTTAAGATCCCTCACCATTTTCATTACCCTCTTCTGGACACTCTGCAGCTCATCAATGAACTTCCTAAATTAGGACACTTAGAACTCAACACTATCCCTTAGACATGCTCTGACCAGGGCAAACTACAGAGGAACTCTCACCTCCTTGTTCTTGGAACTATGCCTTTCTTTCATGCATCCCCAAGAGAGCATTTGCTTTTTGGCTTACACATCACATCGCTGATTCAGAGTAAAGCTAATACTTGGTCCAGAAGAAAATCAGACTCATTTGTGACTTTGGTTTTGATATCCATGCTCTAAACAGTCACTAACAAATAACTTCATCGCCTTATTATTCTTTGGTAATTCAAGCAATAAGCATATTATTAAGCATCTACTGTATGCCAAACATCGGGTATTCTTTGTATCCTGGAAATACAAAGATAAAAATGAAATAGTCTCTGCCCTCTTGATATTGGTTTATATTGTTGGGGAAAACAACACATTCACATATAAGTAAATTTAAACTTTTTGGGGGGTCTGAACCTGTATTGTCACTTGTTCTGGGATCCCCCAATAAAGACGCTCTTTGTGCCAATGTAAACCAGCAGTTGTACTGTATGTAATTAATAGTCGGAGCGAGGTTAGGGAACCTGCGGCCTTGAGGCCACATGTGGTTTTCTAGGTCCTTGGGCGCAGCCTTTTGACTGAGTCCAAGTTTTACAGAACAAATCTTTTAATAAAGGGATTTGTTCTGCAAAGTTTGCATTCAGTTAGAGAGTTGTCTGGGGTATTAAAAGGTTTAGAGACTTACCCAGGGTCACATGGCCAGTGTATATCAGAGGCAGGATTTTAACCTATGGTTTCTTTGCTACAAGTCCAGCTCTCTGTCCTTTACATTATGCCGCCTCTCTCATAGAAAATGTATAAAAAGTCAATTTGTCAGACCTGCTACAGACTAGAAGCTGTGGGGAATCAAGAAGGATTTGCTTATTTATTTATGGAGGAGGGACCCTGAAAGAAAGCTGGAGGCAAACTTGAGGATGAAGTGAATTCCAGGTATGGGGAACACAGCCTACACAAATTCATGGAGAAAGGAGATAGAATGGCATATATGAGGAAATTAGACCAGTTTGACTGGATTGTAGAGTTCATGAAAGGAAACAGTATCTATACCAGGGGTTGGATCAGGTGATCTCTGATCAATTGAATCCCCCCGTCCTACTTGTTGAAATTCAAGAGAAATGATTATTTCTCTCATAGTAATAGCCAATTATTAAAACTGGGGAGACCCCAACTTTTTTTCCCTATCCTATTTCCTTGTCCAATCCCTCAAAGACTGATGGAAAATAGGATTAACAGTTTCCTCATTCTGGGTATTGCTACCCCAACTAAATCAGACTTCTCATCTAAGGTGAAACTCCCTTCTGCTCAGGCTTGGATGGGGGCTAAATTCTTTGAATAGATGCCCAAGGCTGGGAGCAGTCTGGGTATAGAGATAATCTGTCTTTGACATGATGTCATTCTTGGTCTCTTATTGTAATATTTATTCTCTCATCAATCGTTAACCACTCAGAGTTTATTGTCACTCTCAGGAACACTCCTCTTCCAAGGGCATACAAACCATGAGCCCACAGCTGCCATGATTGTCTTTGGCATTCAAGAGTACCACAGACCTCCGTTTATTAAAATGCTAGCATTACTAATAAAATGACTACCCAGAAATTATGTCTATTGGACTTTTTTAAACCAATTATAAGATCTAATGGGCAGATAACTGAGACAGTGAGGTATTAAGGTTTTGTCCCTTTCACATTTTGAGTGATATATTCACATCTTGTAAAGGACACAAAGCCTTGGAGTGCTTACCTTGAGTGACCTATCTGTAGATTCTAAGAGGTACAAACCAGGAATGGCCCTTGTCACTTTGACTGCTCTTTTAGGAAGTGTGAAGAAATTCCTCCTTGAATTAGATAGAATTACAGGGCAGCTAATCATTGAATCAGCATCGATCTAGAGGATCATCCACATGCCTGGTGGCCTTAAAAATCAAGATCACTTTCTGAGAA